ATATATACATTAATTTCATACAAAAATATAATAGATATATTATGTATATATTAATTTCATATAAAAATACAATAGTAAAATATGTATATATATATATATATATTAAAAAAATTTTAAAAATATATATTTTAATTAAAAAATATATATTTTTTTCATCTTAACTAAAGGTGAAAATTTTCAACTTAACACGATGACACGATTTTAATTCGATACCAAAATAAACATGTCAACTCGTAACTCGACACGACACTGTTGGGATTTAATACGATTTAAACCCACAGACAAACACACATAATCGAAAAACAAATCAATAACATAAAGTAATAAGAAACAATAAAAAACAAGACACAAAGGTTTTACGTGGTTCGACAATTTGCCTACGTCCACGAAACTGCAGGGTTTTCACTATTGAGAGAGAGGATTACAGAGAGCTGCTATACACTTCGATCAAACCCTAATCACTAAAGTAGTGGTCTTTTATATGTCCTACGCACTGGGCTACAAAACAGGCTCAAACCCAAGTCTTCGCTCTATGGACCAAGCCTCAGAAATTTCTCATTAAAAAATCACGCAACATTACTTCGGATCGAGTCATCATCCGGATCAACATACAAACTAAACTCCACAAAGGTCCAACATACACAATTAGTTAAATGAGTTAAGTTAGGTTTGACTAATATTATATACATACCCGTAATAACTCAACACGAATCTGACACGACACGACTCAATTGTCATTCCTAATCTTAGCCAGCACCAAAAAAAAATAGTCGTTTTTATTTTTCATTCATCCAACCAAACACAAAGGAAGAAAAATGTATCCTTCCAACTTTTTATCCTTAAAGGATAAAAAATGTATTTCTCTTACTTTCTATCCTCCCTGCCAAACGGAGCATTAGAGAATGGTATGTTTGGATCGACAATCTATATTACATATATACAAGGGTTAGCAATGGTAATTTACCTGGAGGAATGTGTCTTTTGAAGTATTATGGGGCCATAGACCCCGTAATACTACAAAATTGAGGTCAAAATGCTTTAATTTCTT